GCGAAGTTAAGTGTAAGCACCAGGGTATAGAGGGCTGAGCGGGGAAGTGGACCTCTTGCCTACATTAAACTTTGCTTAGAATTCTCCATAAGCATGACTTTCTGTTTGCTCTGGTCACTGGTCCAGGTTAAAATCTCAGGCAGGGACGAGAGATTTGCAGAACTGGGTTGGAGAACACTCTCCCCACTTAATCTGGGTATGCTAAGTGACTATTTAAGCCTGGTTTAGTCTCTAGTAAATAGAAGTTAGAGATACGATCGGGGGGGTTGGGGTGGAGCTCAGTGGTAGAGCGCAAGTCTAACATGCAGGAGGTCCTAGATTTAATCCCCAGTACCTCCCAGCAAAAATGCTATTGCTGATGGCTATGAGAATCTAGCGAGGTTCTGAAAGAGATGTGAAGTGTTAATCATGTCTCTAGGGAGAGTTGCTGTTATGAAGAGGAAGGAGGAGGGTGGGGTGCTCTGTCCTCGCTGCTGCGAGGCTGTGGAGCTGAGCAGTGAAGAGCTTGGGCTCTGAGCGTGTTTTCTGGGTTTGAGTCCTGTATTCTACCACTTACCTATTGCATGATCTTGGAAAAGCTGCCCCATCATTCTGGCCTTGGTCTTCCCTCCTGTCAAATGGGGATAACGATGATAATCCTTATCAGGTAGATCTCCTGTGATGCTGATGAGTGGATGTCTGCCAAGTGCCTGGGGCATTGCCAAATACTAAGCAAGGACAATCCAACTGTCACCTGCTATCGTGAATGAACCAACACCCCGAAGGCATGTGGAAGCGGGGTGATGGTGAGAAGCAAGAGGGCTAACTGAGCGTGAAAAGTGTCCCAAGTAAGAGCAAAGATGGGCACTTCTGAGTTCACAAATGTTTAGATGTCCTTGGCAATTCTAAGTCTGACTTTAAGTATCCATCTGTGTTTGGGTGTGTGGGGAGGAGGGGATCAACTTGGAGACAAGTGTCCATCTTTAGATCCAGAGGTGATTTCCAGTTACTATTTTTTGTTCATAATAATCAAGACTAGCTTGTCGGACATAAGCTAACTCTTGGATCACTAAATAAGTACGTAACACAGCGACTATTCATGAAATAGTGGAGCCAAAACTTTAGAGGTTATCTCACCCCCTGCTTCCCAGACCACTCAGCATGCTGCAAGCACCTTTCTAAAAATACAGATTCCCAGGTCAGGCGCCTGGGTCAGTTACCCAGGTGTGAGCCAAGGGACTCGTCACCTTTGCAAGCCTGCCAGGTGTTTCTGATGGTTCGAGGACATTTGAGAATCTCATCTCATCCAACCTCAGGGGCAGAGCTGGGTCTCGGACCAGGTCTCTGGGCTTTAAGCTACATCTTCTCCTTCAAGTGAAGTCATGTTGGATGTAAGGTGTGATGCTTGGGGTGTGGAAAGTATGAACTAAGTTCCCGTCTGCAAGTCATCCAGGGTCCCATGTCTTAGATGCTACAGAAATCTGAGAGGGGATGATTTTTCCCTTAAATTTATTATTTTCCTCTAAAATTCTATTAAATTTCATTCTGCTCAGACTACAGATTTATGGGAATTGCGGTTAATGGTCACTGGTACCACAGCCACAGTTCCAGAGGGGGCTGCCTGCGTTCACACCAGCAACTTGCCAAACGCAAGTGTCTGCTTGTATGTGACACCCCGATTTAGAGAATAATCCGGAGACAGAAAGCTAGTGTGGGCACAGCATGTCTTTAGAGCAACTGCAAATAGTGTCTTCAGGCTACTCTCGTCATCTGTGAAAACACATTTATTGTTTGGGGGAAGCAATAAAAAAATGTTTGCCGTAGCAACCAAGGCAACCCAGGGCGTCTTGCCTATTAGCTGTAATGCGGGAGCATCTCCCACAGCAGAGGAAGAGTCCTCGGCAATTATCACCCAGAGAGCGTGCCTCCGCTTTTCCAGCTAAGGCTGAAGCCCCTGGGTTTGGAAAATTCTTGACTTGATGTGTTAATGAACGTTAAAAGCAGCCAGTCCATTTGGGTTTATTTCAGTGGATTCATAAGCTAAGGTCCTTACTGTGGGCAAATGGAAGATGTGATTTTCTTTAGACAGATTTGAAGAAATAGTTTTAGCATTAACTCTCCCTTTTGGTTTTGTTTCCATTTGGTTTCACTTTGGTTTGGGTCAGTCTTTTGTGATTTTTATCCTTTGCAAGGCGGCTGCGAGGGTTCCTTGTTGCCTTTTCTTTCTTTCATATTAGCATACAGTTTATCATATGCAAATGTGATCAGAATAATTAGAATAAATGAAGGAAAAGCTCTAAAGCCTGACTGGGAAGTCTAGTTGTGGACAAGAAGGGATAAAGAGAAATAGTTAAGGTTTGAGTTTAATAATTTAAATTAATTAAATTAAGTTTAGTAATTTAAAGAAATATTGATGCTCAAACAAAGAATTCCATGTTATACCGCCCAGCTGTCAAACTGCGACATACATTCTTAACGCAATAAACATGTAAAAAATGAGTCTCAGTTTATAAAAGGAAGACATACTGACGCTAGAAAACACGTTACATGTGAAAGGATCAAAGGATTAAATCTCTCCGATTTTCACCCCCCAGAAGAAGTCACCATACACATTTCTCTTTGTGTCAGAGTTTCATGTTGTTGAGATCATATCATTTACACAACTTGGCTTTTTTCCCTTGAGAAGAAAGAGGCCTCATGAAACGGGCAGCAGGAGAGATGACGGAGAAATAAAGAGTAGGTTCTGAATAATCTTAGATTTCTTGGTAGTGTGGTATCTCCTCCTCCTTATGCCTCCCTGTTGGCTTTGAGAAATTGGGAGAGAGCAGAATGGACTGGGAACTGTGGGCACACAGGTGAAGACAGAATCAGTTGGTAAAATTGTACTTGGGAACTCGCATCTCGAAATCCCTGTCCAGATGTCTCCTCCCAGTGCCTCCCCTCCTTATTGGTTTTTAGGCTTTTTAGAAGCTTTTTTCCCCCCTTATATAATAGTTTCAAATGGCCGTACCTGAAACCTGAGTGCCAGGTGTTCTAAAATTGCAGGGTCTCGGTTTCCCCCACTGTAACATGTGACGGTTCTGTTTACTCCACCAGACCTTGTACAAGCATTAAGCTAGGACAACTGCAGTATCAGACACGTTCCAGGGCACAATAGCTTCACCAAAACAAGAATGAGTTCTCCTTCAGAGTGCAGTTGACTTGGGATGACGTAGGCATCCAGCATCTTTCCATGACCTGGTTCAGCATTCAGCTACGTCCTTGTCGGCTGCACCCATCAGTAGTAGACTGGGAAAGCAAGAGGGGAAGAGACCCAACGGTTTGCAGGTGACAGATCACCCCCTACTCACATTTTTACTGGGGAGAAGTGTCCATCTGGCCATAGCTCTAATTGTATTGAGTGCTGAAAAGCGCAGCCCAGCCATTCTCCCACTACAGGTATATTACAGCAGAAGGGAGAGGGAATGGGTATTAAGCACAACTGGCAGTGTCTGTGACTGTATTTCTGTCTTGCAAAACACTTAATAAAGACATTCCACGGTTGGTGCTGAGCGTACAGCTTCTCTGCCTTTTCCTGCATCTGAATCTTCTTAGATTTGTTGAACATTTGTCAAACAGAAGCATAATAGCACAGCTGTTGATGAGGGTAAAATTGACCCATAACATGTAGGCTGTGTCCTTTGGCCAGAGTGGGGCCCCACTCATATTCTCTGTCACTCGTGTCCACGTTTCCACTCCCAGATAATGACAAGCTGTCTCTGCAGTGGGGAGCCAGTTGGGGTTCAGAAATTCCTCAGGACCAAGAAGAGGTCCAACTGACTCCTTCCGAGATAGCAAGAAAGTAGACTGGGACATCACTAAAATGTTTTTCAATGACTTGTGTTGAAACAAAGAGGAATTTATTGATTAATGCCTCCCAATTGAAAATTCAATGAACCATCCAACCTGACACCCTGAGCAAAGTTCTCAATCAAGGGATGGGTTTCATGGTCTCACTCCAACCATGGCTGGCAGAGACATCCTGCAATATGTTCCACTCTGGATTCAGGCATTTTGAGAACTCTTGGGTCAGTAAGAATGAATAATGACCTCTTTATTCAAATATGAAATAAAAACAGAAAACTTAGACCCCAAGTCTTCCAAAGAAGCAGCAGCTGAGATTGATCTATGAAGTTCCATGGTGTCATGTAATTCTGGGGCCCCAAAACCTTCCATTGCATATTGGAACGTTCCTGGATGTCAGATACATGGACCCACAGGGAGATCCAGGGGTGCTCATGCTCTCTCACATCTCTCTGAGATGCTTCGCCCAGGTTCATCTCATCAACTTTTTCTCCATCACGCCTGTTGGCTCAGGAAATGACCATGTTCGCTTCAGCTCCACTGTGACAGTCTTTAGTGCATTCTGGTCACCTACTGAGCCTTTCTGTCCTCTTGTCCCTTCCATTTACCTCTCTGAAAGCTTTCCTTCAGCATCACATCACACATTTTTGTCTGCCGCTCTCTCTCTCTCTTCAGTCCTCACCCACTCCTGGTACTCAATGAACATATGCTCAATGAATGAACGCCAGTCTCTCAAAGGCATAGTCCATGACCAGTTTTCTTTGTGTCCACAGCAAAATGTCAGGTCCTCAGTGCATGTGCTGCTTGTATCTGGAGAGCGATAAGGATCAGTGAAGGGAGAGCAAGGGATGAAAAAGAAAAAAGAAAAGAAGGAAGGAAGGCGAGATCAGTCAGGCAGAAGGTATAGGACATGTTAAAAGAGAAGGTTGTAAAAGAAATAAAGACAAATGAAACAAATTGTATTAGGAATCCAGAAAATGACAACTCTGACAGCTGAGACAGAGAAGAAGAACCACAGAGGAGACAGCATTGGAGATGAACCTTAAACTCTGAAAGGGAATTAGATGGAGGAGGAGAATGGAAATTGGGTCAAGAAGTACCAGGGGTCTAAGAAGAGGGGTGGAGCATGTCTGAGGGGATAAAGACATCTTAGCTGAACAGGGTTTTGTTTCTCTGCGAGGTGAGGCTGTCGCTGTGTGAGATGTTGCTCCAGCTCTCTCTGGTTGATTGTCTTCCAGGAACTGGCGGCTGGTCCCCAGCGGACTCCAACGCTCAGCAGTGGCTCCAGATGGACCTTGGAAGCAGGGTGGAGGTCACGGCCGTGGCCACGCAGGGAAGATACGGCAGCTCTGACTGGGTGACGAGCTACAGCCTGATGTTCAGCGACACGGGGCGCAACTGGAAACAGTACAAACAGGAAGACGGCATCTGGGTAGGACATCTTTTCTCATCAGATGCATGCAACTGAGACGCGCTAATGGTACCCAGTGAACGTCTATGTCGTTTTCCTGTATCCAGATTGTTGGTGGCTTCATAACTGCTGAGTGCCCATTCAGAAATAATTAGACCATGTATGAGCTCCATCTCCAGCGTGACTCCAGTATCGAGGGAAATTAGGGTGTCTGTTGCAAAAACTTTAGCATTTTCCTCCTTTTCTGGTAATGTGGGTAATACACTGAGGGAGTCTCAGTTCTGTCATCTATAAAAACAGAAACACACCACCGAAGCCTGATTTTTGGTGAGAACGTGTTGATTTACTGAGTATGTATTAATTTACTCACTTATTTGTTTATTACCTACCGGGCACCTTCCAGACCTTGTCATGGTGGAACCAGCTCAGATATATAACTGGTCCAAAGTTGCCCAGCTTGTGAATCTTGGCCTGGGAATCTGGTCTGACTTTCAAGCCACTTGGCTTGACTGCCTCCATGCAAGTTTTGAAGATATTTAAAAGGATTAAAATACAAATAGAAAATTGAGAATTATTCTGCCTTTATAGACAATCTTCAGCTTGGAAGCAAAGGACAGTGTGTGCCAAGTTGTGAAAAAAAATACAAAAAAACAAAACACAAAACCCTTCCACCTGACGAGGTCCAAGCTCTTGACCCCACAGCATAAGTGAAAGGCTGTCCCCAAAAGGGGGACAGGACAGAGAGAAAAAGGCACCCAGAGTGGACCAGAAACTCACGCACCAAATGACTTGTTAGCTCATGTCTCTTTTGGTTTAGGAAAAGAACGTTACCAGATTTTTTTTTTCAAAACGTGGTACGATATGAAGATTTGGCAATTGATAGCATTATCTTTCCCTCTCATGATCTCCTTAGCTTTTTCCTGCCTTAATTCAATCCCACCTATGATTTCAAATGGCTGTTGTTTGCACAAGCATTTTTCTGTGTTGGTCACACTTTGTTGGAAAAAAAAATTCTATTTTCTATCCCTTGTTATTTGTTAATTGCCTGCACATCACTCTTTCTACTTGGAAGTAACGGCAACCCTAAGTAGGGTTAAGATTCGCTGTGGCAGATTGAATGTGGAGAATATTATAATTGCCATCTTTATTCTGAGTTGCCTGTAGCGGTGGCTTGTGACTTATAGAGAGTATGGATTTTCTTCATCTTACGAATAGTCTTTTGGGGCCTCTTCTATGTTTTTCTCAATTTCGAAGCCCCCGGACGTTTTCCAGGTTTTTAGTTTGAAAAGAGAAATGAGCACGCCTTCCTTTTTGGGGAACAGTGTTCAGGGTTTCTGCTGACTTGAGAGAGACAAATGGTCGTGGGGTCATTTCTTTTCTTGGGCGTTTCTAATCAGAACTGGTCTTTGTTTTCCAGATTGAAAGGCAGTGTTGAGTTATTTCGTCTAAATATTTTTTAAAATCTTGAGTTTTATTTTCTTTAGAACCAAATGACCCGCTTTTAGCCTGGATCAGGGTGTGTTCCAAGGACGGACAGTTTCTCTGGGCTTGTGACCAGCTGGCCTCAGGCGGGTTTCACTTTTTTGTCCCTCCTGGGTTACCTGCGTTTCTGCAAAATCCCAAGCCCCTTAGAGACGGGGGCCAGTCTCACAGGTCCTGGCAGCCTCCATTCCTGTTATGATTGGACGCGTGGCATGAACTACTGTTTGAATGGTTATTACGAGACCTGCAGAAGGAGTAGGACTTCCAGGATTGGAGGGGAGGTGACTATTCCTGTCCTTGTCCCTCACCTCACCCTCAAAACAGCTTTGATATTTTAGGGGGGAGGCAAAAGATGCTGGGTGGGCCAAGAAGAGGTGGGGAACTGTTGTGCACAGAGATGCCAAATTCCAGCTGAGGCTTCCCCGGAGATACGTTGCCTGCTGGGCACTTGGGAGAAGAGGTTTAGGATCAACCTGTCAAACGCAAACACTGGAAGCATCCTCAGGACTCGGGTGACGGGGGCAGGCACACCATGACGAGTCACGCACAGGAATAAGGCTCAGATCTGGAAAAGCGCATGTCCATTCGAATCCCTACTGAGGAAACGCACACCTACTGGCCACCAATCACATACTGCGTTTGTGAGCAGATGTCATTCTGTAAACGTAGTAAGTGTCCTTCTACAAGCACTGGGGATTCAGCCATCAGCGTCTCCCTAAAGGAGAAGCAGGGGGCTCACAGAGACCAACCCAAGCTCACGTCACCAGACGCCGATGGTGCCTGAATACGAAACCGAGATTCATTCCTAAATGTATACTTGACTGCAAAACTGTACTTTCTATTTCTCCTTTACTACACTTGATTTTTTTTTAATTTCCACAAAACTGATTTACTTTTCTCACCTTAATGGTAAACTCTGTCAGACTTACTCCAGAAGAATAGCATTAAACCCTATTGTTTAATTCACCTGTGTTGCTAAAATATAAAAATGAAGAAGCACCTATAAAATCTAACTGTATTTCTGCATGTTATAAGTCACGCTCAACGTCTCTGAAACTGTATCAGCCTTACAGAACAGCCATCAAACAGAGACTCAGGGTATTTTAGCAAACACTTCATGAGCGTTTGTAAAATCTGACTTGCGGCTAATATTCATCATTTTTTTTCTACCATAGTATCTAGTTGAATAGATTACCTTGAGAGTTTTCCTTTTAAATTTAACACTTTAAGTAAGACTATAGCTTCACCAGAGTAAATCCTGATAAACAAGATGAAAGCAATTGTCAAACAAGAGGGTTTTATAAAACTCTAAATGGTTCCATTTAACTTTTCAGAAAACAGTCAATACCTCAAACCATTAGTACCAAGTATTGACTTAACTAACGGTGGTGTAGCATGGAAGTAGGGAATCTTTTTTTGTTTTGTTTGCTTTTGTGTGTGTATATATATATATATATTTTTTTTAATTGAAGTATAGTCAGTTTACAGTGTTGTGTCAATTTCTGGTATACGGCACAATGCTTCAGTCATACATGAACATACATATTCTTGTTTTCATATTATTTTTCACCATAAGTTACTACAAGATATTGAATATAGCTCCCTGTGCTGTACAGTATGAACTTGTTGTTCATCTATTTTATATATAGTGGTTAGAATTTGCAAATCTCGAACTCCCAATTTATCCCTTTCCACCCCCTTTCCCCTAGGTAACCATAAATTTGTTTTCTATGTCTGTGAGTCTGTTTCTGTTTTGAAAATAAGTTCTTGAATGAGGGTTTCATGTGGTCTTTGGAAAATCTTCCATTTGCAGATGATACAGAGTTTGTAAAGTTTTTCAAGTTGATTTACCAAGCAGTACAATTATTGTACATTCCTTGAATGGGATATCAATTTACCAGTACTCAAGAGATTTATTTTATTTTTCAAAGTTTATTATGAAACAAGAATCCTGGGAATGTAACTGTCCAACATACAGTCACAAATATTCAAGCTGTAAAAATCCAATTTTTAGAGTTTCAGCTCTGGCACTGGATGGAATGTTCATAAATGAGGCCACTAAGCTGCAGATGCGTGATGCTTCATGATTTATATATAAGCCAGGGTTCCCCACGTCACTAAATAATGAAGTGTGAAGGTGTCTCAGGGACAAACTTAGCAACACTTTTAGAATCTTAGCACGTCCAAAAACCTCTTTCTGTCTGGCTTGTCGACATGCCAAATCAATACAAATATCACGATTCTAACTTGGAGCAGCAGTGCTAGCCAGGGTTCAGTAAAGTGGATAAACTTCTTTGGAACAAAGGAACCTCTAACTCTCCAAATCCAAAGAGATCAAAGTCCTGTTACCCATCATTTTGAAGGATGCTCCAGGGGAATCTCTTCCTGTCCCTGTTATACCCACGAATTACCTTTTCGGTCCTGGGTCCTTCGTGTGAAAGTTCACATCCTTCCTGAATACACCTGCTTCCTACACACAACTCCTAAGTGTCCCCAAAATGCATTCCCCTCTATGCACATTGCAATCTCCCTTATGTTCTGCTGTTTATCACTATGAAATTTCAAAGACAGCCACTTGTGCTTGTGTTTTAACATAAGGGGTCTTATTTTTAAATCACTTATCCACGTTGCCTGTGACTGATCTTGTACAAGTCAGTCAGGAGCCCTTTCCTCTTCTCCTAACCCTGAAGACCATTATCTGCATACATGGACTCTTATTCATATTCAGTTGACAATTTGCTCTTATAAAAATCATGTTGCCTCTTCTCAGATACATCAGCCACCTAGTCTTTTATCATAGAGTCCTTTGGTCTGTATGATGTGATGGTCTGTGACTTTCTGTAGCTTTCTGGAGTCTGTCTTATATGAAAGGCTTGCATATGCTACCCAGCATTATCTCTCACAAAGGTCAATTGAAACAATGGATTGTACATTTAGGTCATCAGTTCCCTGATTTCACCCTCCAGTGACTTCTAAACGCTCTGGGAGCTGCTCTGATCTTCATGATTTATACACATTTATTCTGCCAATTTGGCCTAAAATACCCTGAGTATTGATCACTGTTTGATGCAGTATTTTAAGCCAACTCATTTCAGAAAACACTTTGAGAGTGAGAATCTCATTACCATCAACATATATCTTTTAAACTCTCATTAAACACCGAACACCATGCTGGGTGTCATGCATAACAAAGGGCTCGAAGTTATGTTTGTCCCTCCTGTGAACGTGCAGGACCATTAAGAGGCACCACAACACAGCACATCTGTGTAAGGAGCCCTGATGGCAGGGAGTGCATGGCTGGGGTGGACTTTGATGGATCCAAAGAGCAGGGACCATGTTTAGTTACTTTGGCTTCCTGGAAACTACAAAATGCTGCATGTGTAATAAAAATCTAGTAATGTAGGAAGGCAGAAGGAGGAAATGGTAGGAAAAGAGGAGAGTTCATAGCAGGAGTGTTACTGAAACAGACTTGGGTCCACTCGCCCGACTCACAGGAAAGCCAATCTACTGACACCAGGTTGTAGTGAAGGAAAGTACAG